TTCGTATCAGCAGGAAAGTGTGTGTTGGAAGGGTGAGAGGTGCTCCAGATTTTCCCCCGCAGAGCTAATAGGGATAGATGTAGCTATGAAGTGATGTGCCGGAGAGGAACAGAGTTTACCATATAGTCTGTTTATGCATTGTCAACATACCAGTACACTTCTGAAAGCAAATTATAGATGGTATTTGAATATTTTGCAATGCAGTCTGGTGGCTGTCCAGTAAGCCTTTTTTTTTTTTTCCTCCAGAAGTCACAAAGCTGTTTTCTGTCTTAAAATTGAAGTTGAGATCCATTAATCAGCCTGTGAAAGCTCACTGAATATTGAACATTTTCAGAGTAGAAGTAAGTTTAGGGATGAAGCTCAGTAACAAAGAGGCAGAACCTTCTGGACCCAAATGTGATAGAGTCGGGAAGTTTATCGAAGACTGTTAAAGGCAGAGAAGGCATCGAGACTGGAAAGTGTTTGTGGATTCAAATATAGTACTAAAACTTTTAAGGCTTCCAGAGGAAGATGAGATTGAACCTCCGTTACTTCCTTCATCATCTCTAAGCTGCAAAAAACCTTATAATGAATAGTCTAGTGCTATACCGGAGTGAATGAAAAGCTTTTTGAAAGTAATAAAGCTAAGAAGGTTGGCAGTGCTGTCCTCTTGTCTGATTGGAATGACAAGGAAAAATAATGCTGACCATGAGCATGTGTTGGGAGATTGCTCTGAAAGCCTGCAGCTTCCTTCCTCCCCCCCATTTCATTCTCATAAGCCAAAGTGCTCGTGTCAGACTCGTTTTAAAATGCTTGGAAAATGAATCACATTGCTTTCTCAAGCAGAATTAAGAGCGAAGAGTGGTGGTGAGATGAGGAAAGCAGATACAGTACCAAGAAGTGGTGAGCTTAATCGATAGGACGTTTTTTGTACAAGGATTACGATTAGATCAATGTCTAGCTTCTCCCTGTGTCAAAATTATCTTAATTCTGACCAGGAAATCTCCCTTGCCTTGTGCTTGCACGTTCCTGCTGTCTGTTCAGCGTCAGCGGCTAGTACAGTTTAGCGTCTGGAATTTTGACATGATCTTTTCTACTTTGTTGTTGACATAGAAGAATTTGCCTGAACTATTCAGTGAGGGTGGGAGGCTCAGGATAATGACAGAGGTTATAGAAACTTAGAGGGGGGATTTTTTGCTTTGAAATTGTTGGCTAAAATCAGTGAGATACATCCAGCACTGGCTGCCCAGACCCACCTCCTTGTCTCGGTCCACGTTTCAGTATATGCCCACAAAGTACTGTTGCTGTTGGTGGAAAAAGGGTGAGGATGCTGGAGGTGGTTTCTCGAGTGGTTTTAAGGGAGATGACAGGAATGGCAAAGGAAGGCGGCTTTGCTGCCTTCTACTTGTCAGTTTTGTCCTCTCCTCATGTAGCAGTCTCCTCAGTCAGTAACAAGCAGTGGTGACAGCCAAGGTCAGACACCAGCGAGCACAGTGTGTTTGTGCTCCTGCCCTCCAAAGGTCACAGCCGCACCTGACGGACCTGGGGGCTCGTTCGTGGTTAGGTTGGAGGGTACTTGTCAAGCCGACAAAGTTGTCGTAGGGTTTTCCCGGCATCATTTGGACACTCGGGGCCGAATTTGCGAAAGCGCTTGGGCCCCGATCTGCAAAGCTCTTCGGGTACCGACATTGATAACATAAACAGACTGACGGTGGCTTGGCTCAGTTTTCTGTGGAAAGTGGGTCACTGGGAATAAGTGGTTTAGCTTTGGGTCGTTTGAGGAGAGGACTGAAATAATGCGCAATAGTGTCAATTTAACACATTAAGGCTGACGTCAGACTTGCACCAGGCGTTTTGGGACTCCCGAGCTGCTGTCGGGCATGCGGTGGAGGTGATTTTAACACACTGATGGATGGAGATGTTGAGCGCTCGGAAACATCTAGTGTCCTGGATGCTTGATAACGTGCAGGCAAGAAATATATAGAAGTAACAATGTCTGTAATGGTGTAAAAATATTAACGCAGTGTTTGTCAGATGTTTATACCTGGGTGTGTGCTGAGCAAATCCACATGGGATCAAAACTCTAATAGGGCTCTTCTTCAAACTGGAAGAAGGTAGATTTAGATTAGATATTAGGAAGAAATTGTTGACTTTGAGGGTGATGAGGCACTGGCCCAGGTTGCCCCGAGATGCTGTGGCTGCCCCATCCCTGGAGGTGTTCAAGGCCAGGTTGGACGGGGCTTGGAGCAACCTGGGCTGGTGGGAGGTGTCCCTGCCCAGGGCAGGGGGGTGGAAGGAGATGGTCTTCAAGGTCCCTTCCACCCCAACCCATTCTATGATTCTATGATTCAAAGGTAAGAAACAATTAGATAATCATTTGATCACCCTGATGAATAGTAAAGGTGCTATCTAGCCTTCCGTCCATCCGATCTGTCCTGTTCTCCCATCCTGCTGTGCACACACTGGCCGAGGCACATAAAGAAGAGAATGTTACCGTTGAAACTTGTGTGGTTTCTACCAACTGAACACGGCAGCTTCTTGGAGAAATCGCACTTAGCTGCAGGACAGGAACTATCTGTTCCTGTGCAGGAGAAGACAGATTGTTGTGGGCTCAGGAAATTCAAGTGAATTCTCATGCATTAATGGGGGCAAATCTGTAGGTTCCTTGCCCAGAGGGCTGGGGGAAGGCCATGTGGTGGGAACCACAAGTCTGAGCCTCAGGTGAAAAGGTAGAAAATGTGGGAGAGGGAATTGGTACTGTTCAGTCTTACCTCTCAGCTTCCTTCAAATGGTGTAAAACTATGAACAGAGTTTGGAGCTAAGACCTTGCTGGGAAACTGGAGACAGTGTCCAAGTGAGAGGTAGAACAACTGCTTTGGGACTGCAAGTGCACTTGACCCATGTTCCTGTTCTCTGTGTTATACCCTGAGTGTGGACATACGATAATGATGGAGTGGGTACCAAAAGTTGAGGGTGCTCAGAAAAGGATTGGGCAAATTCCTGAGAGCAAGATCCTTTGTCTGGTTCATAGGGAGCCTGAGTCACAGATACGTGGTGCCTGGAAGAAGATGCTTAGGGGATGTCATTACATACATCCCCTTTTCTGACTCTCTTCTGTATGCGCCAGCTTGGCCAATATTGGTGACAGACTCCTGGACGTTGTGTGTGACTTTATCGGTGTGTCTGTGCTCCTGTGTAAGTAATGCTCGGTGGAGGTGTGAAGGTCGAGTTCCCACCTGACACGGGGAAGTTGTTGGGGTCTGTGGACACCTATGGCAGATGTGAGGTGGAAATGCTGGATTCCAAACAGAGCATATTTGCAGAGAAGGTGATAGAAGGTTTGCTGCTTGTAGCCGGTAACATTTGATCTTCAATAACAACAAAAATGCGGCTTGCCATTTCCTGAGAATAAAGGTTATATTTGGTGTCAGGCTTTTTGGTGTAAGCAGTGTAAATAGTACTGAAGGATGTATTGAATCATTGTTTGAACTGTATCAACTGGGGTGCGCTCTTTAAAGTACGATTGTTTTGATCTGTTCCCTGTGTGTTTTTTGCAGCTTTTCCGACGCGTGGCAGCTGCCTTGCCTGGAATGGAAAGCACACAAGACAAAAGTAGAGAAGACAGTATCCTTTATGCATTTGTGCTGTGACTCAGTGGTGGCAAAGCGCTGCCAGATGTTACCGTGGATGAGAAGAATGCCAGGCCCTCAATAACAAGGATGAAGAAGGAGGGAGCAATATCTCTCCTGCAGCCTTCGGTCAGCTTGTGGACATCCCAAAAAAGAGGCCTGAGAGGGGGAATAGGGGCAAGTAACCTTCGAGCTTGAAGTATGGAGGTAGAAGGCTTGGTGGGATGGAAGGTGGGTCAAGGGTGGAGACCTCCACTGTAAAGCAGGGACATTTAGGGCTATGAGATAGTATAAAAGTGAAGACAACTGAATGAAAGCTGAAGGGAGGACAACGGGAAGGTGCAGAAGGGTACAGTCAAACGGATCCAGAAGGATTCTTGGCTGGGTGTTTGAGCAGGCTGGATGTGGGGAGGGAGGGGGAGACTATGGAGTGGGAGAAAACAGCTGCAAAGAGGCCCGAAAAAACTCTGTGGCTCTTGCAGATCTGACTTTGCAGGATCCTAGAATAAACTAGGTTGGAAGGGACCTCTGTAGGTCCTTTCTCCAACCCTCCTGCTCAAAGCAGGGCTAACTCCAAAATCAGGCCAGGCAGAAATCTCCAAGGATAGAGATCCCATAACCTCCCAGGGCAGCCTGTTGCGGTGCTCGACCCCAGACAGCTGTGGGCAGGCATCGGGGTGGTGCGAGGGAGGAGAAGACTCAACTGAAGGGATCAACTTTGGGGCAGGGAAAGGAGGTGGCACAAGGGATGGAAAAGGGATAAAGCTTTCTGCGTAACAAGCAGTATGGCTAAATCTGAATTGGATACCGGGCCAGCTGGGTGTGTTTGAGGGGGGCAGGTAAGACCAAGTAGGTGCTTTTGTGGGTGGTTTGTGATGAAACTGTGTTCAGTTTTGGGCCCCTCACTACAAGAAGGACATTGAGGTGTTGGAGTGTGTCCAGAGAAGGGCTACAAAGCTGGTGGGGGGTCTGGAGGAGAAGTCTTTTGAGGAACGACTGAGGGAATTGGGGGTGTTCAGCCTGGAGAAGAGGAGGCTGAGGGGAGACCTTCTCACCCTCTACAACTACCTGAAAGGAGGTTGTAGGGAGGTGGGGGCTGAGCTCTTCTCCCTGGTGACAAGTGACAGGACAAGAGGAAACGGATTCAAGTTATGTCAGGGGAGGTTTAGATTGGAGATTAGGAAACATTTTTTCACTGAAAGGGTTATTAGACATTGGAACAGGCTGCCCAGGGAGGTGGTGGATTCTCCATCCCTGGAGGGGTTTAAAAAAAGGGTAGATGTGGTGCTGAGGGACATGGTTTAGAGGTGGTTTTGTCAGGGGAGGTTGATGGTTGGACTTGATGATCTTAAAGGTCCCTTCCAACCTCAGCGATTCTATGATTCTGTGAAACTGCAGGAGTGGTTGTGGTTGCTCAGCGTAGCTCTGAAGGTGAAAGAAGTTATGTGGTAACCGAACCGCTTCTTACAATCTCTGCTCCGCCCGACTACTCGTTTCTGCTTACTCGGATTAGAGAGGAAAGGTAATGCAGAAAGCGGAGAGAGGGCTGCCTGCCTCTGCGCGCAGCTCCTCCGGCAGCAAGAGCGCTGGACGGGGAGTGAATGGACCGAGAGTGGGGGAAATCGCGGTGGGTACTTCCAGGTGGGAGCAAAGAGGGGTTGCGTTGCATCTTGATTGAAAGAGTTGATGAGATGCAGGAGCTTTTTTTGAGAAGAGGAACTTTTTCAGGATTGTCAGTTTTATTTGCAGCAGGGATCACATCGCCGGCAGTTGGTAAATGGAGGAGAAACGGTGCTTTGGGGGAAGGATGCGGCAGGAACTGTTAGGAGGGGGAGAAGCTTGATGCTCAAACTACGTCTCCTGTAGAGCATCTTCCTGCCTAGGGGAAAGGAGGATTTGGGAAGCTGTGGATTGCAGCTGCGAAGGCACAAGCTTTGTGCGATATGGACTTGGATTGATCAAAAATACTTCGTCATGCAGGTCACCGAAAGGTTAATGAGCAACAATCTTTTTTAATGAGCGGATGGTGGTAGAATGCACAGGCACTGGTTGATGGGCCTGCGGTTTCCCTATCAGGGAGTTTGATCACTGGTCTCTAAATGAAAGTGCAATAAGGGCACTTTGGATTTGACTTCCTGCAGACTGCAGATAGCAGAAATTGAATATGATTGTCTCCCAGACAGCTGCGCTGGGATTAATGGGAGGGGGGGGATTTTCCATAGGCTTCTTTGTAGAACATTAAGCGTTCAAGGATCTTGAGCTGCTCGTGCTCGGTGGTGAAGCTGGCAAGGCTCATTTCGAACCTCTCTGGCTCGATGTGTCGCTCATTTAAATGTGTATCGAGGTTTACATCAGCGAAACAAATGGACCAAATATTCGAGATGAATTATTGGTCTTTTGTTTCCCTTTTTGCGTTTGTTTTTTTCTAACCTGTGAAAAAAGCAACTTCTTCAATCCCCTCAAGAAATAAGTTCGAGGTACCAGCTGTGTGACCTGTTTGTCTCTGTGTTAGCTGATAAGAGAAATGCTTGAGACTTTCGAGTCGGGTTTGGGGATTAGTGTTCAAAGCTCCTCCTGTGAAAGGCTACATGAGCGTTGTAACCGCAGAGCATCAGTTGGGAATCCGAGTGCCACAAAGGGAGTAGCTTATCGCAGGCTGGTTCAGAGCAGCAAGCTCTCCAGCGACCTTATGCTCTTGTTGGATATTAGCTGTCATTGCAAGGGGTGAGTTCGGGGAGGCGGCAGGGGTTTTGTTGGCTGCCGACGGGGTGAGCAGAGCGGTTTAACTAGAGGAAGGATTGATGGGAGAGTTCAGGATGGCACGTACGGAGCGTCGCATCTGCGAGCTGCGGGTGGCGTAAGTACTCGGGGGTTAGCGATTTGCACAGCGTGAGAAGGAATGGCTTCGCTAGAATATGCTGCTGGGGGATTCTCTTAGCAGGGCACGCGCTGCCGTCTGTATTCAAACCCAAAGAGGCTCTCCTGCCCTCCCCAAAGCTGAGTGCGGACAGGGGAGCGAGAGGGAAGTACACACACCCTCCTGGGTGCCCACCAGCTGGAGGTGCTGCTCTCAGTGCTGGGAGACTGAATCAAACCTCTGGGTTTCTAAACTGTTACTGGTTCCCTCTGGAAACAGTGATTAGACCCTTCACAGAATTCACAGAATTCACAGAATTCACAGAATGGTTAGGGTTGGAAGGGACCTCTGGAGATCATCTAGTCCACCCCCCCTGCCAGAGCAGGGTCACCTACAGCACGTTACACAGGACAGCGTCCAGGCGGGTTTGGAATGTCTCCAGAGTGGGAGACT